TGACTGTGATCGATGGCTAGTGGTTTGTAAAATCATTTATCTGTTTACTATTTTCTACTTTGTTTACTCCACATGGCGTCCATTCTCGTTCTTATTCATGGCTATTTTGGGTCTTTTGATAAATAGAGAATCATAAGTAATGCAACTAAATAACAATACTATCAGGTTTACACGGCAAAATTCCAAGTTCAAATTGTGATTTTGTTTATCAAACTCTATAGAAATTTATTATACAACAATTCCAGAAAAAATATAAACCTTTTAAAAGTCTCTCTTTTGAGGACAGAAAAACCTAATTGTTACATTCACAAGTGTCAGTGTTTGTCAGTAACTCTTGACAAAAATAAAGTGAAAAAATACCTTTAGCTTTACAACACTCGCGTTAAAGTTAACCCTTTCCATAGCATACAAACGTGTTTTTTTATTTTAACTCTTTCTCTTACTGAGAACACATATATTTCTTATCCATTTCGCCATTGTGAAATAGAATAAAACACATTTTACTACATAGGATAAGATGAGCAATACTTAAAACATCTTCAAAACGAAACCAAAAAATTATTTTCCGACAGGACTAAATCTAAGTGATTTGACGTGCACTATTGCAATACAAGTATAAGTGTTATTGCTTTAAGGAACAATCAGTTTTTTCACAATCTCTCTGTGAAAGATCAACAATGATAAACTAAATTGTAGAAAGAGAACGGTAGGCATGTTGCTTCGCATTTGCAACGAATTATAGAATCTGCTGTAAACTGTAGTCCTTTTTTCGACTTGGAACTGGTGCCAGAATTGACAATTGAAGAAAAATGTAAGATTTATGTCATTCATAATAAAAATATGAACATATTTATGTAGAGTTTTGCCTTCCGTACTCCCGGTTGATGTAAACCTGACTTTTTATTCATGGCGTAGACCAGATAACGCCAGAAAACGAAATAGCTTGCAACTGAAGCCCGTTCTAATACAAGCAACTTTCAAGGTTATGCAAAGTGTTTGATAAAATGGCTTATATACTGACAAATATCCAATATTCTGTGGAAAGCTTATATTTTTCCCCGTAGACTGGTGTATATCCCAAAGAAATTAGTACAGAAATAAAATATTTATGACTATTTTCTTGTCCGAATCGAGCAATATTTGTCTTGGAAATGATGCCGAAAATGACGTCAATGTCACGTGGTATGGCCACACTGTCTTTACTAAACACGAATAACAAATAAAATAAAATGTTTCAAAGTTAATAGAGTCATATTAAAACCATAAAAATGTACCTTTTTCACAATTATTGTACATATTTATAGTTTATATCTCGTATAGATAAAATGAAACATGCTATTGTTGTTGTTGTTGTTTTTTTCGAATTGTATGTTTATGTATAACAATAATCAATATATTTGAGAGTTGATCTATGTTTATTAATTATTGTAACCAAACTAAGTGACAAACATTCATTTTGGAAAAAAGCTTATTTATCTGTAAAATATTTGTTCTGTTCTGTAACGATATCAAACATCTACTCCAAAAACCGGGAGAGATCGGACATTAAACGTGTGATACTTTTCGCCGGTCACTAGTATCACGGTCAAAATAGACCGGGAGAGACCGGAATTACCGATAGGAGTACATCCCTCTATAAATAGATTTTCGGAATATTTAAGGTCATCAACTCATCATTCTATTTTAACATACCATGATAACCCACTGTGTACTACAAAATGATAAATAAAAAACCGAAGAGACGGAAAAGGTTATTGCATTTGAAAATGAAAAGGTTATTGCATTTGAAAATGTTTGCATTGCGAAATCCTCCAGTTCGCTATTCATTGTAACATATCGCGACATTTAATTAATAATCAAGCACCCTCATACCGATCGGAATGATCGGCTTTTATCATGACCGACTTAAAGGCTCGAGAAGTTGCTGTCGCCCTTTCACAAAATCTGATTTCGTTCCATAAAGGGGCGCCGCGCTTCGGCGCGGACGCCAATAAAAAAAATATAAACTCCTACGAAGGAGATAAAAAAGCCTAATAAGGAGTAGGACTTTATAAGTCCTACGTAGGACTTTGTAAGTCCTACGTAGGACTTTATAACTCCAACGTAGGACTTTATAACTCCTACGTAGGAGATAAAAAAGCCTAATTAGGACTTCATAACTTCTACGTAGGACTTTTAAACTCCTACGTAGGACTTTATAACTCTTACGTAGGAGATAAAAAAGCCGAATTAGGACTATATAACTCCTACGTAGGACTTTTAAACTCCTACGTAGGACTTTTAAACTCCTACGTAGGATTTTATAACTCCTACGTAGGATACATATCAAAGTACTGAAAGCACAGAGTTCGACGGACATGTATGTTAGAGAATAACTTAAGATAGCATATTATGTAGGAAAATAAATTATATGAGCCGCGCCATGACAAAACTAACATAGTGCATTTGCAACCAGCATGGATCCGCGCAGTCTGATCAGAATCCATGCTGTTCGCTTACAAACCCTATTACAAGTAAAGAAACTGATAGCGAAAAGCATCGATCCTGATCAGACTGCGCAAGGTTTCGCAGGCTGTTCTGAATCCATGCTGGTCGCAAACCAACTATGTTGGTTTTGTCATGGCGCGGCTTATGTGTGTCAAGTTGTAATTGTGGCAAGCAGCTTTAGTAAAAACCTTTAGTCTGTAGCCAGAGATGATTTTGTCATTCTCTGCATATATTAAACGATGATTCTGTATTGTGTACGTTTAGTTATATTTATTATACGCATGTACACAAAATGTATGGATTAAACTTTGTTCAAAGTAGGATATACAATGTAATTCATTATTAAACATATGCATGCATAATGCTCCGCAAACCGTTATCTTCTTAAATTTTACGGAGCAGGAACAAGACACTTCACTACTCCCCCTGCCCCCTATAAGGATTTAATCATTTGAAAATTGATAAATTGCTCGTTTTGTTCAGCTACTTCGTATGGAAAATGTAATCGTTAAAGCCTTTTAAAATTTTGATATATATCCTTGTTGTCGGGTAAGATTTTTTCGAATAGATGTAAAGCAATTTTTCTGGATACATCGCCAATGCTTACAGACACCTCATCCTAAGACACTGTACACTCTAGAAAACTGAGAAACTTTATTAAAAGGTAAAGTGTTGCGGCATGGCCGTGTGACTAGTAGCCTAATGGTCGCTAGCCGCATGGGTTCAAACCCCGTTAGGCGCAAGCCGTTGTTTCCTTGAGCAAGAAACTTTACACTCATTGCTAAGTACGTACTGGTTGGTTCCAGGAACGGATTCGAAAGTGTGTCTATAAGCTTATAGCTTCCTACACAATCAAACTTAAATAAATTCTGTATGAACCAAAGGTGAAATGTCCTCTAAATTTAAGATTTGAAATTTCGGCCGGGGGGTTAAGAGTTTGTTCCTTCGCCGATATACCGGTCCGGAATGTTGAGATTTGCAAAGCATTCTGTATGCATTTATTATAAAGTCATAAAGTCCTACGTAGGAGATACAAACTCCTAATAAGGCTTTTTTTATCTCCTACGTAGGAGTTATAAAGTCCTACGTAGGAGTTAAAAAGTCCTACGTAGGAGTTTAAAAGTCCTACCAATGAGTTATAAACTCCTAATTAGTCTTTTTTAAATGTCCTACGTAGGAGTTATTAACTCCTAATTAGGATTTTTTATCTCCTACGTAGGAGTTATAAAATCCTACGTAGGAGTTAAAAAGTCCTACGTAGGAGTTTAAAAGTCCTACGTAGGAGTTATAAACTCCTAATCAGGCTTTTTTATCTCCTACATAGGAGTTATAAGTCCTACGTAAGAGTTTAAAAGTCCTACGTAGGAGTAAAAAAGTCCTACGTAGGAGTTTAAAAGTCCTACGTAGGAGTTATAAACTCCTAATTAGGCTTTATTATCTCCTACGTAGGAGTTATAAAGTCCTACGTAGGAGTTATAACGTCCTACGTAGGACTTTGTAAGTCCTACATAGGAGTTATAAAGTCCTACGTAGGAGTTTAAAAGTCCTACGTAGGAGTTACAAACTCCTTATTAGGCTTTTTTATCTCCTACGTAGGAGTTCATTTTTTATAGAACATTATGAATTGGCACTAGGACGCTTCCGTACTTTCCTGCTCCAGATGAGCCAAAATATTTCAAGAAAATTATACATGAGAAAAATGAACTTAGATTTTAAGAAAAGTGAACAAATAAGATTCAAGTTATAATTTACTTATTATATGTGTTTAAGGACTGATTTTGCAGACTTTATCACGATATCTTTAATACATTGCTAACATAGCTAGGGGTAATTTTGTTTATTTTGACCTCATTTTGGTAATTTATGTGGATTGCAAGTGCTGTTTGCAATGTGTCAGTTATTTTCTTTGTTTACTTCACAATATTTTACTTTTAAAAACACTTAAAATTTTCATAAAAATTAGCATGAATCTGGTGGCATACTGCTTTAAAACTTAACAACATAAACTAACAATGACATCTTTCAAGACCAAAATATTAAATTTGGTGTTTGATAAAGTAAGTCGTTTTAATACCTGTATTAAGAGCCCAAAATCAATTGGGTGAGGTTTTATTCTTTTGTATGGTTTTAGTTTAAAGCTACAGCGAAAAAAACATCATATTTTGTCCGATAATACGAAGGATTACTTTTTGGGTACTTTGTACAAATTACGCAAAAAGTGATGATGATTTTTTGGGTCATATTTGTGAATCTTCGAATGAATGGCGTTAACGGTGAGTGATACTTCATTCTGAAAATAATAAAATTATTTTTTTTTCTTTAAAAATATGATGTTTAGATAAATTCTATATCATTTAAATAGATAGAATTAAACATATAATCTAGCCTTAGATTATTATGTTTTGATGTTTTTTAATACAGTGAGATCAAAAAGGGACATTATTCAATTAACAGCTGATAGGAAGAGGAAGTGAGTTATTTCCCTTTCATTTCATTCAAAACTAAAAGAGGAAGTAAAAATAGAGAAAAAACCCCAAATTTTCTTCATTATTTCTACGGAATATTAATAAATCCAACATTTGAAGTAAGTTTAAAACTTTATTTTATGTACACAATTTCACATCTATATACTTGAATATAATATGAATTGAGTAAGAAAGTAGTTCAGGCAATACTTCAGACAGTATTTTTAAATTTTGTCTCCCTTTTATCAATCTCAAAAAAAGAAAATATTGGTTTAAATGAAATATGTATTTTATACGGAAGCGTGCCAATTTATTATGTTCTATAAAAAAAATAAACTCCTACGTAGGAGATTAAAAAGCCTAATTAGGAGTTTGTAACTCCTACGTAGGACTTATAAAGTCCTACGTAGGTTTTTATAACTCCTACGTAGGAGTTTATAAGTCCTATACTCCTACGTAGGACTTTATAACTCCTACGTAGGAGATAAAAAAGCCTAATTAGGAGTTCATAACTCCCACATGAACTTTATAACTCCTACATAGAGGAACACTAAAAAAGTCCTACGTAGGAGTTTAAAGCTCCTAAGTAGGTTTTTATATCTCCTGCGTAGAAGTTATAAAGTCCTAATTAGGCTTTTTTATCTCCTACGTAGGACTTATAAAGTCCTACGTAGGAGTTATAAACTCCTAATTCGGCTTTTTTAACTCCTACGTAGGAGTTATAAAGTGCTACGTAGGATTTTGTAAGTCCTACGTACAGTTGAGTTCACACTAAACTTCCCACTCTTGTGCACTTCTAGTGCACTAGAGCTGAACTAGAAGTGCACACCGTGTGCACTTCTAGTGCACAAGACCATATGATCAAGCTGGCCAGGGAAGGTGACACCTAAATGGTTTATTGGATAATTGCATATCAAGTGACAGGGGGCATCCATTGTTAAGCTGCTATAAGAAAAAAAACTTTGGGAATATATGGCCTATTCATGAATGTAAATAAGTAAATTTTAAAATCAGCAGTTTTAACATTTTAGGTGATATTATGTTAAAGCTTAAAATTAAAAAAAAAATATTGTAATCATATTTTTACTAACCAGTATTTAACTGTAAGTGTAAAATAATACCCCTTAAAATCAAATTTATAGAATTAAATAGGTTAAATTTAAATATGCTCTGTAATGGATAATTAAATAAGTGTTTTTGAAGCTTTTTTTTAATGGCCGTGTATTTCAATTTTTCTAGTGTACAAATGGGAAAATCAATGTGATAATTCTGTCCGAATAAATTTAGTTTGTAACAACATAAACTTTTTTTCATAAGCTCAAAAAAATCAAGGAAAGGTTTATATTTAAGCTCAAATATTTTTTCTATAATATTTAACTTAGAGACAATTCGTCATGTTCAATATGAAAGAGAATATTAATACATTGATTTTAAAAACAACCAATATACTGTGATAATTCAGTATTCAACTGTGTAATGCTTGCATATGTAAAATAATTAAAAAATTATCCATAAAATAAATAAATTTTGATAACTTTATTCATGATTTCAATATAAAAATTTAATGTATAAAGGGAATACTTTAATAAAGAGGAAAAATCCCAAGTCATGCTGTGTATTGGTATTTTCTGAGAGGGACTTTTTTCATTATACTACTCTCCTGCTGAAAGGGAGCCTCGGGGGAAAATAACAAAGAACAGTCAATTTTGCAGATTTTAAGTATGCATTGAAATTCCCTGGTTTTCTCAAAATGCATGTTTAGACAGAAGCCTGGGTAAATGACCATAATTTTTGTATAATCAAATATACAAAAAAAATCATAATGGCATAAATGCATATTAGATATTATTGTCTCTAAAGCGGAATTTTCTATATTTATCCATTTAACCACTTTTCTTGCCATTCTGCATAATAATATATTTATAACTAATGCGGCAATTATTCATGTTCAAGATTGAAAGAGAATATCAATTCTTTGATTTTAAAACAATCCATACACTGTGATTTTATGTTTTTCAACCATGAAATGCTTGGATACTTTTAAAGATATAAATAATTAAAAATTTTCCATGAAATAAATGAAATTGATTACTTTATTCAAGATTTCTATATTAAAAATTTTATGTATGAAGGGAGAGGAAAGGGAGAGGAAAGTCTCAAGTCATGCTGTGCATTGGTATTTTTCTGACAGCGACTGTTTTCATTACACTGGTCTCCTGCTGATAAGAGGGCCTTAGGGTAAATCAGTGTTAACTATTCTAGAAAGACCTCATATCAATATGTATCCACATTCCTTGCAATTCTGCATCAAAATTTGCAGCTTTTTAGTTTCTGAACTGGGAAATGTTATTTTTTTCTATTATAGATTTGACAAATTTTACTTATCAGTTTTAACACATTTAGAAGATAAGAGATCTATATTTTTAAGAAAATATTTAAATGCATGATTATAAAACTTTTGCAACTTCCTTTTCACTTCAATGCAAATCTGTTTTTGTTTTTGTTTTGTTTTTTTAAATAAAATATCATACATGAGCAGAAAACAGAAGATAAAAATGTCAAAAGTCATGCTGTGTATTGGTGTTTTAATATAGTACCCTGCTGATAAGAGAGCCCTTCAGTGTAAAGAACAAAAGGCAGATGATAAATATAAGTAGGCAATGTAAATTCTGTATTCTCTGGATGTTGATGCAAATAAATTTAATTACAAGTACTACAAAAAGAAAACTGAAATATTTTTGCATTTTATGATAAACTCATAAAAGTAATCATATTGCATAATTATGTTACAATGCATGGAAAAAAGAAAAAAGATAGATGTTGTCTCAAAAAAGGGAATTGAAAGATTTTCTAATCTGTTTGTCAATATCCATGTCAGTTAAAGTATACTAGTGTCCCACAGGTACATATCAATACTTAATCCACACATATCCATACTTAACATACCACCATTATATAAAAAAAATTATTTTCAGAATAATATATATCTTTAATATTAATCTTAGGTAAATCTCAGTTTAAAAAGGTAAGAGAGATTATAAATGTGTTAAAATTGACAAAAATTTAGGCAATTATAAACATATTAATTCTTTAATGCATTAAAGGCTACTAATGCTTAAAAATCATTACCTTCAATTAAAACAACCATAAGTTAAGATAAAAAATAAGTAATTGGTATAATTTTAATTTGCCCCCCCCCCCCAAAAAAAATAATAAAAAAAATGACTGAATTTTGTTTAATTAGCATTTCAAGTTTCATATTTCATTACAAGATTTTTAAAAAAAATAGAATAATTTAATATCAATTTATTTTTTTTTTCCCTTATAAAATTAAAGTTTAATTATTATTTTTATTTTCTTAATCTAAAAATTAAAATTTTAAAAACAAAATTGCAAAATTTTAAAGATTTTAAAACTATTGTTTTAATATTTTACGCCATATTTTACAAAAAATTCAAATTTTTCATGTAAAAAAAATTATACAGATTTTCTAAAATTATCAAATTTTTCCTTTTAAAAGTAAAATTTTCCCTATTCATTGAAAAAAAAAAGGAAAACTGCTTAATAAAATTTTAGTATGGGTTTTCTGGGCACTAAAATGCACTTAAAAGCACTGTGTGCACTTTAAAAGTCCCCTTTGCACTCTTCCCCTCCGTCCTTTGGGGGTTCCCTTTATTTTGAACTCAATTTGTAGGATTTTAAAACCCCTAATAGGTTTTTTATATCTCCCTAAAAGAGTTTAAAAAAAGGCCAATTGGGAAAGTTACAAATCCTACTTAGGATTTAAAAAACTCCAAATTTTGGGCTTTTTATCCCCTACAAAAAATACTAAAAATCCTACGATTTAAAAATCCTACGGGGTTAAAAAATTCCTTGTGGGGAGTTTTTTTTTTTAAAAAAATGTGAATTTGGGCACCAGGCCCCCATTCCTTTTTTTAAAATGGAAATTTCAAAATTAATTTTTATTCAATGTTTTTTTAAAAAAATTTTTATAAATCAAAATTTCCCCACTTTTAAAAATAAAATTTTTTTTCCTTGTTTTTTTATATAAAATTTTAAATCAAAATTCAAAAAAATTTAAAATTAATTATATACAAAATTTTCTCATAAAAATTGGGACAAATTATGTAGGGAAAAGGTTAAGGAAAGATTGAATGAGTGTTTAATTTGAGTGTCTCTCTTATATCAAAATTCTGAAAACAAATATTTTTATTTACGTAATAGACAAGAAAAATACCACAACCAAATAGAGGAAAAAATGCATTATTTTGATCAATTGATATTTACACCAACTTATTTATCTTATTATTTATCTTTTGTTTTATAATGTCGTGATTGGCTCTCCTGTTCTAGGACATTTAGGACAAATAAGAACAATTAAGTAAAAGTATGTGATCAAATTAATTTCACTGCTGACTGAAACAATTTTGTCTTTAACATATATATTACAGAATGTTTCAAGAACCTGACTACAGAGAAAACTTATCATTGATGTTATCGGAGGTTTTACATGACATTGGTGTCAATGAAAGAATAGTGATGAGAAGGAGAAGAGGATACATGCTGATGGAGACTATGAGAAATATCACGTGCAGGTTAACTGATCTAAATGGAACTATCTATTATCTAGGGAGTCAGAGTGAAGGTACAACTACTATAGGACTTGATTCAGACATTGATATTCTATTCTGTAATCATGATGTCAATTTAATACAAGACTGGTCAGAGTGGGAACATGGCAAGTTAAACTGCCTCATGATACAGGATGAGAACACTACCCCCGGGTATTGTTTCTTACAACTACTAAGACATGATGAACCTCTTCCTGTAACTGTCATTCCTGATGAACACCATATTACTGATAGAAGAGGAAGAATATTGTATAAAAATACAATGATAAATCAATTTCTTCAGGGTGCTCAGCAGCAGCATGGACCATCTATTGCTGAACAAGGACAACCTGAATTTTGTGATAGAGACATGGTGATAGCTTATCCATGTAAATCATGGTCTCAATCAGCGATAGGTTGGTTACATAGACAGGGTATTGGCAGATGGCCAACACAAGAGATGAGAAGATATGCAGCCAGAACTGGGTGTTTTGTTGTTCCAACTGGAAGTAAGGTCAGTGAATATCCTGAATTGGAATGGAGGTTATCTACATCATTGACAGAAAGATATCTAATGTTCAATCTAAATATAACACAAATAAGGTGCTATGTACTATTGAAAATGATTCTTAAGTCCTTCCTTAATCCTGGAGATGAAATCAACATATCAAGTTTCATGTGTAAAACAGTTATATTACAATGTATAGAAAACACAGAGTCAGGAATATGGAAAGATAATAATTTATTTACATGTTTAACATACTGCTTATTGGAATTACACAGTTGTGTACAGAATGACTGTTGTTCACATTTCATTATACCAGAAAATAATTTAATGGCAGGGCAATTTACAGCTGAGACAAAACATGAACTTTCAAAAAATATTTGTGAACTTATACAAAATGATAGACAATGGTTACTTAGTATTGATATCGATTATCTTGGCCCTAGACTTCAAGTTAAACTGAACAGAGTACCACCTGCAGTTTACTATTTTCCTTCTTCCTTTGAAATGTATGAACATGTTTTGACGTTGGGAAATGTAAACATTGCAATAATCATACGTAAAAATCACAAGGTTGTTTTAAACCATTTACACAATAAAAACATTAGAACAATGAAGCAATATATAGGTAAACTAATGACCTTCAGCGATAATGGTAATAGATTAGAACATACTGCATTCAAGCTTCTAGCACCTTTTCTTTTTACCACATACGGATCTATCCTAGCATCATCCAGCATTGCTGAAAATAATCAAGTGTCACCCCAAGCAGTGCTCTGGCTATCAGCTGGTTTAAACTCAGATATCTCATCTAGTAGACTTAAATCGGCTTCAGTGTTTTACAGTACCGGAGATAAAGGAGAAAGCCAACTTATTCTGAAAACACACAGAAACCCAAAAATATTATTCCCTTTTCCCCGTTTTACCTACTGTAGGCCCCCCAAATCAGTCCCTTTGGAACGGGGAACATCGAAAATTTAAAAAGGGTAGTAAATGAACAAAAATGGGACTATATCAAACATTTTTTACAAACATTTTGTGTCAGGGTTTTATACAAATAGAGATCCTGTTTTTTCCCCCTGAAAACAAAATGAAATTTTTCCCGAAAACACCACAAGAATTGGGAAAAAATTGGTAAACCCGGGCCCTTTGGGTATAGAGGGCTGTTGGGGTTTGGGCTTGGGGTGGGGAAATTGTTCTCTCCTTCCCCCTGTACTTTCCCACAAAAACAAGATATATCGTATCCAAAAGACATTTAAGGACAACAACAAGCATTTGTAAACTTATAAGAACCATAGTAACAGATATAAACCTCACACATAGAGAATCAGCTCTCAACATTTTAGGACAATGTATGGAACAAGAAAACAGGCCTCAACAAGCATTAAAATGCTACATGCTTTCTCTTCAACAAAGGGCAAGAAACAATGCAGCAAACTTCCATATATGTAAGCTCCTGTCTGGCTTTATGATCAGCCAATAAAATGTGATCAAGAAAAGAAAGTAGGAAGACTTTAGTTTTAAATGATATCAAACAGAGTAAAATGACAAAATATAGGCCTGCTATTACGCTTATTATCACATATTATTTTGAAATACCATTAAACATGTTAAATTGAAAGAATGATTTTAACTTCAATGACTTTGAATATCTGACTTTGCATTTAAGATTTAAGAGACTCAAGTGATGAAGACCATATTGCTTATGCAAATATATTTGAAACCTTATTTTATGATATGAAGTTTTTTCCAAGCCTTTGTATACAGTAGGCAAAACAGTTTTAGCTGTCACCTATATACATATATATTTAGTCTTCTATTGTTGGCAATAATTATTAAAGTCTTGTTTTATATATGTAACCTGTATAAAATAGTCTTATTTTTATTTAATTTATTTACCCTGTATATAACATGACCCTGTTTAATGCACTGGTTACTATGGAAATTCAGCAGCTACCAATGTCTCAGGTCAATAAGAAAAATGTAATGGTCAAAAACAAAACAAGAGGGCAATAATGGCGTTATATTGCTCAGCTAATTTCTAGAAAAGGTCACAAGTTCTTAAATTAGGTTTGATCAATTTGGATCAAAGGGCAAGATTTATTTAGTTTTCATACATTTTCACCAGGCGACAAAGTTCAAAATGTAAAAATGAACAAAGGGCAATAACTCCTAAATCAGGCAAGGCAGAGTTATGGTTCTTCTGCACTGCACTTCTATCCAATGAGATCTATCTTAACCTACAAAGTTTCATGTTGATATCTCTTCTAGTTTCAGAGTTATATCCCGGACAAACTTAAAAATGTAAAAAGGAACAAAGGGCAATAACTCCAAAATTAGGGAAGGCAGAGTTATGGTTCTTGTGCACTGCACATATACCTAATGAGTTATTTCCACCTACAAAGTTTCATATTGGTACCTGTTGTTTCAGAGTTATGTCCCGGACAAAAAAGCTGAAAGACGGACGGACATCCGGACAGACGGACATCCAACCAAATAGGGATAAAGGGCCATTTCTATTGTTATTTTTGTTTAATAGAAGACCATGGCCCCTTATTCTATTGTTTTGCAATGAATTCTATTGTTCTCTTTTGTTCTGTTTACAGCTAGATGGCCCCCTATCCCTATTAGGTAGTGCGGATAGACAACAGAATAGTGATTCTTATATGCTGTATAGGCAACAGGCAACACAAAAATCAGTGAAAAATCAATAATTTAACCTTTAACAAACAAGGTCATCAAAGACCCAAGGTCAATTTGAGTTTGATTTACATAAAGGTCTTGTCCTAAAGAATGTTTTGTTAACATATGAAATTAATCCATTCAATAATAACTAAGCTATAGCAAGTGACAGCAAAAAAAAAAGAATCAATAATTTGACCTTTAAGCTCAAGGTCATTTATGAATGAAGGTCATCATCTGTCTGTTTAACTTAAAGGTCTATCCTAAATGATTATTATTTTCCAGTTTGAAGACAGTCCATTCAAAACAAGAAATTATCATAGTATTGTAAGCAATCCATAAGTCCCCTACCGGTAAGAACCCCAGCAACATTCTGATGGGCCATTGACCATTCAATTTTACCAGTGAATGAATGACATAAATGAACTTAAATCTTTTGAGTTCTACGTTTGTCTATATCATAGTAATGTGTTAAGTTTTCCTGCCTAGTAAGGAAATTATGTTTATACAACAGATAATCAAATGGTCCAATTTTCTCAGAATGAATAAGTCTAACAAATGTTTCAACTTTTCTCTATTTCTAGCCCTTTGTTGGATTTGGATAAAAATCTTTAAAAGTGATCTCAGGAAACAGTTTTTTTGAACAGACAGACAGGCAGACTGAAGGAGACTCTAATGTTATTTTTTAAACATCCCTGTTACCAAAATATAACATATTTTAATACAAAATTCTTAAAGAGGACATAACTCTTAAAATAACAATGCTAGATTTATTAACATTGATGTGAGTTTTACTTTAAGTTTAAAGATACCATTTATAGTCACAAAGAAGATACGTAAAAAAAAGAATAATTTTCAAATATAACATTAACTATAATGTATAGTAAGTAACAAAGATGAAAATTAAAAACAAAAATATAATGTAGGTGTTGATAATGAATGTTTATTTTGAATTTGAAGAAAGTCCATGAAGAAATAAGAAAGTTAAAGAATGAATAAGAAAAATTCAAAGTTTAAGGAGGAGATAATTCTGGAAATATGGATCTAGATTTATAAACCTTGTCATATTATTATGATGTGGGATTTTAAAGTAAATCCTATAAGGAATGAAGAAGTTGGAGTAAAAAATACCAATTTCTCGAAAAAAATCTAAGTTCAAGGGGGACATAATTCTGGAAATAGTCTTGCTAGAGTATTTAACCTTCTCAAAAATGATGAGTGATAATAAGAAACATATATATGAAGTTTGAAGTAGATACATAAAGAAATAAAGAAGTTATTTAAAAAAGACAACTTTTTTTTTCATAAAAATTTTAAGTTTAAGGGAGGTAATTCTGATGTTTTTTGTGCTTAAGTTGTAAACTTTGTCACATATGATGTGGTTGATGACCAGAAACTTATATTTAAAGTTTAAAGTAAACACCTTAAGAAATAAAGAACTTATAGTGAAAAAGCATAAATTTCAAATAAGAAATCTTGAAATTCAGTCTATTTGTTGCCACAGCAACCAGAATTTTCAACAAAGGAAGAAAAAAAAAAAGATGTGCATAATTTCCAGACTGTCATCTACCCATATTTCAAGTTTCATAAAAATATTTTCAGTACTTTTTGAGTTATCACTGGATCCAGTTTATGTGTAAAATTTGCCATATTTTCAGTCTATTTGTTTTCATGTTTTTTCAACATATGAGGAAAAGAAAAAAACGTGCATAATTTCCATACTGCCATTTATCCATATATCAAGTTTCACAAAAATAGTTTCAGTACTTTTTGCGTTATCGCGGGATCCAGTTTTGTGGACGGACGGACTGACATACAGACAGACGAACTGACGGACGGAGGGTAAACCTAAAGTCCCCTCCGGTTAAACCGGTAGGGGACTAAAAACAAAGTTTTAGCCACTTATAGCAAAACTCAGGACTATTTAGACATTTGACCTTGAATGTCACTTAAAAGGTTATGATCAAGGTTAAAGTTTGCAGACGGCAACAGAAACACAGACATGACGGTAACAAAAGCCACTATTTTAATTTTTCTAAAAGAATAACAAATAACAAAAAACAAAAACGACATGACTGTTACAATATCTCTAATTCAAAAATAAAAGTCGAGTTAAAGATTGCATTGAAAAACACACCCTTTAATCCTTCCCAATGTAAAACTGTACTGTAAAAGTTGTAATAAAGCTTCTTATTTTTCTCTCCTGCTTACGAATTTCCTTATCATGCTAAATTATCTTAAAGGACTTGTCCATCTTTCATATTTGACAAAAACATTCATCATTTTAAGGGATTTTATTTTAAAAATGCACTAACATATGTCCTAGCTTATCTTGAATAGCACTGGTTGCATCTGTTGCTGCCAACAGGCTAAGATTTAAACTAATGACTCCTGGGTTGTTAGGCTTGATGAGAAACCATCATGCTTATACCCTAGCACTTTATATGTTAAGATTTCAACTTTATTTGTAAATTGATAATTTCATTTTCCTCGGTAACCCAGGCTTTTTACCGTATACCTGTATTAAATGAAATATATACAGAATGTGTACGACTTGTACGATGAATTTTCATATGCAGAGGAAATGATAGGATCTGTTCTCAAATCGAATATGTGCATCTTATATTGTATCACTTTAACTATTACACTGCTAAATATCTTAAATGGACCTGTTCACCATTTTGTCTCGACAAAGTCAAAACCATTCATGTTTCCCAACTTATCTTCCTTACAGCAGCACCTCTCAACTTATCTTCTCTACAGCAACACCTCTCAACTTATCTTCTCTACAGCAGCACCTCCCAACTTATCTTCTCTACAGCAACACCTCCCAACTTATCTTCCTTACAGCAGCACCTCTCAACTTATCTTCTCTACAGCAACACCTCTCAACTTATTTTCTCTAGAGCAACACCTCTCAACTTATCTTCTCTAGAGCAACACCTCCCAACTTATCTTCTTTGCTGCAGCACCTCTCAACTTATCTTCTGTACAGCAACACCTCTCAACTTTTCTTTCTTTAGAGCAACATCTGTCAATTTATATTCTCTACAGGAACGTCTCTCAATTTATATTCTCTACAGCAACACCTCCCAACTTATCTTCCTTACAGCAGCACCTCTCAACTTATCTTCTCTACAGCAACACCTCCCAATTTATCTTCTCTACAGCAACACCTCCCAATTTATCTTCTCTACAGCAACACCTCCCAACTTATCTTCCTTACAGCAGCACCTCTCAACTTATCTTCTCTACAGCAGCACCTCTCAACTTATCTTCTCTACAGCAACACCTCCCAA